GGCCTCTGGCAATCCAAAATTAATCAGAAGGTGCGCAACAATATAACCCTATATATATATGTATGCGCTTGTTTCATTGAAATATATTATATACATATGTATACATATAGATACAACTACAGTGTTGTTTAGTGTAATATGCATAGGGAATACTTCAAAATCAATTTTCTTATTCCTAATTATCAACAAAGAGGTACATGTTATCACCCTTCACAAAAATGAAATTTTAGCATTACTCTGTTAATGGTCCCTTCTTGTTTGCATTTACTCTCAAATTTCTAAGTATTGCAGGAAACAGAAAAAGGAAAAGGTGACGATGGAAATATTAGCAAGGAATCGCGAGAAAACAAAGCTAATAATTTAGCTGATTCTGGTGTTTTGACATTTCTTTTCTGGATGGAACGAGTTGCTATGTTTCTTGTGTTATGCATTCGGCGTTCAGGAACAACTGATGGGCTGTCTAGTCCCGTGTTTTTTTTAATGTTCTCTACCGATCTACTTTGCGCTCGCTATTGGGGAGCCAGACTCAGAAAATAAACAGAAGGTGCACAAGACTGTAACCCTAGCCCTGTCCTTCCTTTCTTTTATATTTGTGACATCTGATTGTTTGATTGGAACATATTATGTACTTAAGTATGCATACAAATGTAGACATACACAAATACAGAGGCACTCTGATTTTATTAATCCATATATACCAAAGAGTAGCATCCCTCCCACACCCCCCAAAAAAACCAAAGAAAGAAAATCAGTATCTTTGGACATCAATATGGTATTTTGATACAAGGGCAAATAAAAAACCGGTTGAGACCAAATCGGACCCGTTAGCTGGTTCTGGTGCACAACAACCCGACTGAATTTGTATATTAAACCGAATCGATCAGTTTGGTTTGGTTTTTCACGGTTTGATTCGGTCCAATTCCGGTTTCAAATATATGGAACCATTTATAAATGATTCGATTCTGGTTTGGGGTCCTATATAACAAAACCCAAACTAGCAAAATTTGTACTATAAATTATATATATATATAGGGTTGAATTATAAAAAAAGAAGCAGCCTAGAACCAAAATCAAACTGTTTTATCAAGGTTTGGTTTAGTTCCATTGCTTTCACGATTCGATTCTATTTCAATAATCAGTTTGGTTCCAAAATATTCTAAAACCGATTCATGTGCACCCCTATTTTGATATGTATATTAGTCACACATCCATACAGCATACAGCAAATGAAAGGAGGAAGGTTTTTTTTCCCCTTCTTTCAGGGCAAGAAAACTTTCATTGATCAATGATTAAGAAAAATTAGAATCACTAATGGCCAGCTCTTGAATGAAAGATGGAAAAATATTAGAAAAATATATACAATCTTTTCTTTGCATGGCATACCGTGTTGTACCATGAGCTAATCCATTTGCAGTTCTTCTTACCCACTCAAATTTCCACTCAGTATGCATTTGAAGTAAGTAGCCAATGTCCTCTACACCAATACTCAATGAACTATTTTTATAATTGATCACCACAGTCGCCTTCTATACCACCTCACTCAAACCCCAACTTGAGCTCATTTCTCATTTTAGAGCTAATCTTGCAGAGATAGCTTCAGCAACTATGGCAGAAGCTAATAGCTTCTCCTTGAATACTTTACCGGTAAAATCTCTAAGCACCAAACCAGCTGCACCTTCCTTACTCTGCCCCATGAAAGCGGCATCAAAATTTAGTTTATAAACTCTACCTCCTTACTTTGGAAAGCGACATCAAAATTTAATTTGTAAACTCCATTAGCAGGTGGTTTCCATCTAGGCACCTGCAAGGATGTAACAAAAGTATTCACAACCCCTTTTTGTACTCATGCCAATGATCAGTAGCTAAACTGTACTCATGCCTTGAGAGTAAATTTTTTATTTTTGGTTTGGTACATTAAAATGCTAGGGACTCAAACCCCTCGTCTCCCCTGTTTGTCCTTTATGGGGGAGGAGAAATTATACCGACTAGGCTAATGGCCCAACGTGTTTAAGGGTACTTTGAAATAAATTTTTTATTCATAATTCTCATCGAAAACTGTACAATTGTGTCATTAAATTGAAAACGTACTATATTTTTTTAAAAGCTTAATTTTAAGTGTTGGAGTTTCAAGAAGTATTTGTATCTCTTTTTTTTTTTTTGATTAAATTTTTTTAAATGGTTAATTTTAAAAAAAGGATAATTTTAACATCTCACAAAGGAAACTATTTAAAATAAATTTACCAGACTACCCTTTAACCTTCAAAAGATTGTGCTAAACATCATTTAAGCCAAAGCGATAATTTGAAAACAAAGAATGTTTAGAGAAAAACTAATAAGCCATTAGTGCAATGGTATAACCTCCCCGCCCTCCCCCGCCCTCGAAAGAGGAGGGGAGGGGTTCGAGCTCGGGCGTGCAATGTGTGTGTGGGTACTTCCGATAAAACAGAGAATAAAAATGTGCCCTGGACTCATATTTTTTTCACGTTCTGTAATTATATAGTCCTCTAAACTCTTGGTTGGAACTCACTAATTTCATGTATAAATACCCACTTCAACATTATCTCATTACCACACAAATGAAAAAAATGAAAAAAAAAAATCTAATTATACTTTTTACACTTCCCAATATAACACACTCAGCCTTACTAGTAATTTCAAACAATATATATATATTTTTATTATATACAGTATGTCAGTATATAAATACGTAAAGAAGAAAAAAAAAAAACAAAAAAACAAAATTATCTGAACGAAAACAGAGGCCAGCTGCGAGTTGGCAACAAAGGGAATGCCGGTTGTATGTACCAAAAAGTAGACAGCTAGCAGCATCCTCTCTCATTTCTCACTCACTCACGCACCCATACTATTCTGTAGGACCACGAATACGATATGCAAGTTGTTTTCGTTGTTCTTTTAATTTTTTTATTTTTTCAAAATCAAAATATGATATTTATAAAAAGTATTTATTAAGAAATTTAAAGAAGGCACATTAAAAGAATTTGCCATCCCAGTTTCTTAGCCATCTAACAACATCTACCCATTAATTTATGCAAATTCTTCTATGTATATTCAATAGTTAATGACTATCAAAATTTTGCAAGTGGGTTATTATATAAAAGAAATCGATTTTCACATTTGAAACTATTTGATCAACTTTTCACTAATAATCAACAATTTCTTACCCTATTTACCCAATATATATATATATAAATATATATATTTCCTACTCTATGTATGCCTTTCCGATTTCCTCATTGTGTAAAATTTTTATTTTATTTTTAAATAGGATGTGATATTGACGTTCCAAAATAGTACTCTCACCATTCACTGCTATTATCAATAAAATAAAATGTCAAAAAAGGACATAAAATGGGCCATGAATGATGGTTTGAGGTTTGGGATAAAGATGGGACAGAAGTGAGATAAGAATGGACATTAAAGAGTTAGTAAAATCCTGTTATAATTTTTTAACAAAAAAAAAAATCCTGTTATAATTCTAAACAAGGGTGAACAAGAGCTTTTTGACATTTTATTTTAGTAATAATAAGAGTGGATCCCCATAATACTAATTAGGAGCACTAAACTTTTGAAATTATATTATATATATATATATATATATATATATATTTAATTATATATGTGTCTCATTTAATAAGAAGAGCGAGTAACACAAATGGGAAAATGACAATTCATAAGAAACTAGTTATAATAATGAAATTGATGGAAGGTGGTTTTTCTTGTTGGGTTAACCCTATTTTTGTTGGACGAGATATCAGACTTTGAAATAAAGACTGGGGTCTACCGAAAGGTTGTGTTGCCACTTGTTTGTATTGTAGGACGAGATTTGCTAGTGTCAAGATTGATATTAGTGGACAGAGCGAGATAGACAAACCTCACGCTCTACTCTGGATTAGTCTATACCACGCGTGCTTTATATAAAATTACTGGGGCATAAAAATACCCAAACCAGTTAATCTGATCGTGAGTTCTAGACTCCTAGTCTAATCTTTTGACTGAAATTATATATTATATAACAATTCATATAGCATTGGCTTATTTCTGTTAAATGTGTGAAATGTGCTTGCGTGTCATTCTTTAAGAAGTGAGAATGACACGCACACACATTTCACAGAAATAAGCCAATGCAATATGAATTGTTTGCCCAACTTGAGAAGCACCCTCAGTTGGATGGATAATGTGTCTCATTCACTAAGAAGTGAAAATGACACAGGATCATGTGTCTCATTCACTGAGAAGTGAAAATGACATAGCACGCACATTTCACAGGAATAAGCCAATGCTATATGAATTGTTTGCCCAACCTGAGAAATATCCTCAGTTGGATAGATCATCTTGTGATGTGTCTTGCTACCATTTGGAATTGAAAAAAAAAAAAAGGTAAATTCAATAATGGTGAACAAGCAAATATTAATATATATATATATATATTTTAATATGTTAGCAAATACTAATATTTAACTTAGATTGATATTTAAAAGATTCAAGAGTAACTTGGTTTGGATCCAAAATCTATGTAAGGTTATGAAGTTACTAAAGAAAGTGCATCTCTAGTTTTAATTATATATATATATATTTTAATATGTTGGCAAATACTATATTCAAAAGATTCAAGAGTAACTTGGTTTGGATCCAAAATCTATGTAAGGTTATGAAGTTACTAAAGAAAGTGCACCTCTAGTTTTAATTGTTGACCTACCCTATAATATCCGTCCTCTGCATACCTGTTGGGATTATTTAACCTCGTGATTTTATATGTCAGCTAGTATTTGACAAGCCTCTTCTTCTACCGTACATGTATTCCGCCATTGGATGAAGGTTCAAATTTCAAGTCCTAATAGGATGGCAAACGTCATATTGGATCAAATTAAATAAAGACACATTAAACTTATACAAGATATGGAATTATAAAATACTCCAAAATTTTAATTAACCGAACTTTAACTTCATACATTCATTCATCAAAGTACACTAATTCAACGTTGCCCAAAAGCGTATCTGATAACCAGAACAAAAGGAACAAACATAGAGTGCACTGATTCAACATTACCCAAACCAAAGAAAAAAAAAAAAAAAACTAATTACAACAAAATTAGGTGGATGAATATCTGGGAATTTAGTCCATATGACATCAAATCTCTAGTCGTGAGATGTTGATAATGATCAGTAAAGACAATACTTCATTTTAAATCTATTAAGCAGAACCTTGTACTGCTGGCGTCAACCCCAGTGAAATCAAAAGGCCAAGGCGCAAGCTCAGTGAATTGAGGTGCACAATGTAAAAATTAAATTACTATTAAGGAATTCAAATTCCATATTGAAGGCGCAAATATTGTCCAAGGCGCACCTGGACAAACTACGGGTGTAATCTTGTGCCTATATTAGGCCGGAGCTTAGGCTCGCCTTTGACAACACTGGTGAAGCCTGCACATAAGACTCATCAGATGTACATGATGTGTATTACGGTATATACACTCAAATAATGTCAAAGGGTTAAAGTCTATGTCCAATCTCACCACCCTCATCTAACAAGAACCACATTGTGTTATAACCTTTTTATGTACACTCAAAATTGCACTACTGGAACCGTCTCTTGTATGACAAAGGATACATACACCGTACAGGGCAACAACTCTTTTATGGTTAAATGATTGCAAAAGCAAATCTCAATTTCTTTGTTTCAACCATTTTAAGGCGACTACATGAAGAGATTACAACTTGCAACCTTGAGGTTTGAAATACGTTTGTCAGCAACGATGATATTTCTTCTGCTCTGTTTATACCTGCATTACTGGAAATGAAAACATGCAAATAAATAATGACCTGATAAGCATAATGAAGATTACCATGGAACAAGAACACAAGAAAGTAAATTGCCTAATCAATATGTTAGTTTATTAAAGGGCAAAAATCCTATATAGGATTTCCAATATATTTCTTCACAAAAAGAAATACATTGTTGGAGTTTCAAATATATTTGATAAACCAAGAGTTATCTCTCTCCCTCTATAGAAAAATATACTATATGTTAATTTTCTCAAAACTTAACCCAAAATATTATTCCAACTAATTCAAACCTGTGTATGCTATTTGGGGTTTGCTTTTCCACTCTTAACACAAACATGTTTTCCATAAATTAATAACTCGAGAAGTGCTTTTGGGTGGAACAAATTGAAAGGGCGCAAGGCAAGGCTTCATAAAACTCAATGCAACATTGGAAGGACATAAGCCAAGGGTTTTTGGCAAAAAGTTTAGTTCACATGCTTTCTTGACTACTAACAGTCCTGTTGAGATCTGTAACTAGTTTATCTAACTAGGTTACAACTGGTGGGGCAGCTTGACATACGGTTCACCAGTGGACCATATAGCCTAGTGGTTTGTGATTTGATCCGGGAGAGGAGTAGAGCAAAATGATGATTTTAGACTTCTGGGTTACATATATTATAACTAAAAGAAACTGTTGACCTTAAGGATTTCATATAAGGACAATCTAGGTGTTTTGATGATAACAAACCATTAATGGTGTTTATGGACTAATGTTCACGTTGAGTGTTGTAGATGATTCACATTCAAAGAAGAACCTCAATGAAGATCATAAAGACCATTCCAAGAATTCCATTACTCAAGATCACATCTATGGATAATAAAGGAGACAAAGAAGGCATGAAGTTGCAAGGAACCAAATGCAAAGTCCATCCAAAGATAACTTGGACATCAATGATTAAGAAAGCAACTTAAAGAAAGGAAGAAAACAAGAATACCTCAAAACCTAAAAGATCATGAACAAAGCTTGAAGAAATGGGTAGATAGCTTGGTGAGTGCTAGCTTAAATTGTAAAGTTATTTTTGAAGTAACTTTATTTGAAAGCTCATCTCTATAGGATCATGCATATCATATCATCATTCATATGTTCCTTTATATATTAGTAATAGACTATGCATTGCATTCATATATAATTGCACATGAAGTCATTGCTAAAGAGTGAGTTAGTTCAAGCTTGCATAAGCTTTGAAAGAACTCATCATTTGTGCTAGAAATGCTAAGACCATGCACATCAATCATATAATTCATATTGGCAAACAATTAAGGCATGAGAAGCCTTCATTACCATGAGTTGGTAACGGACATTAGGACCCCAGAATGTGCGTCATGAAAAACTGTGTTTTTGGCTAAGTGTGAAAAATGAATTTTTGAAATAATGATTATATCAAAATAATTTTTCCCGGTAATAACTCTTCATACTTCAACTAGCCTAAACTGATTTTATCAGAATTTTTGACTAAGTCTACATTGGTCTACATACGGATTTATTTTTACCAAAACTGTCGGAAATCCAAATTTGTACTAAAACTGAATTTCTACATTTTGATTTAGTTGGATTTCAATTTTCTAGTATTTTTTATTGAATCCAAATGGGGGGTACTTCCTTATTTACATTGCAAAATTAAAGTAAATGGACATTTACTTAAATGTTTTCAATGGAAATAAGGTATGTGCAGATGACTTGTGCACAGACTGTTTCATCTGTTTTCTTAGAACAAAATTTTTGAAACTAAAGTTCCATTTCGGTCAGACCGAAATGGAGTAGTAATATGAATCGGTCGTCGGACGACCGATTCTCACAAAGAGTTTTGGAATAAAGGAAAAAGGAGTTCCGGTCGACCGAAACAAAGAAAAATTATTTTGGCCTACCGAAACAGGAATGACAGCCAACCTTGAACTATTTTGGATGACCAAAACACAATGGTGTTTTAGTTCGGTCGACCGAAACTACCCAGATTTGAATTTGAACGGCTATTTCCTCTCGAACTGTGTGCCCAACAGCTCTATTGATATCAGATGCACTAGAAACTCTATAAATAGAGTTAGGGTTTTCTGGTTTCGTGTTAAGGGTCTTAAAAGGAACTTCTATAGAGCTTTTGCTCTAGTTCCTCCTCCTCCTTGTGGAGCTTTTGCTCTAGTAGTCCACACTAGGAATCACCATTGAAATACATTGCATATCATTCATGTGATTCATCTTACAAACTTAGAGTTGAGCTTTCATTTGATTATTTCAATTGTAACTCTAAGTATGAGAGCTTTGATTTGTATATTTGTTTATTTGAGAGACATTCAATGTAAGCTTCATTATATATCCATTCTTGAGAGAAGAAGACCAAGAGGTGCTCTTGGCAAGGGAAAGTTTGTTTAAGCTATTGTAAGGGTTCTTTTTCTCAACCCATAAAAGAAAGAAGGTGTCTCTCTAATGAGAGGATTTGGTAGAGCTCTCCACCCACAAGAGTGAGCAATGGTTCCTTCTTAGCCGTCAAAAGAAGGAGAAGCGAGATGGCTTCATTACAAGGTCAGTTCTTCACCCGCAAGCAAGAACATGTGAAGGTCTGCTCTCCACCCGTAAGGAGGAGCTTTAGTGGAATCCTTGAGAGGTTTTCTCAAGGCATGGACGTAGGCCGAGATTATGCCGAACCATGTACATCGTGTGTCCCTTGGTTTGCATTTTCTCTACTCTCTAATCTCTACTCTCTTTACATTTGATTGCATATTTATTTACTAAAACTTCATATATCAAATGTTTAGTTTATTTTGAGTAGAATAGTTATATAAATCAATTAACTAGTATGTGAAGCTTAATTGATTGTATGAGGAGGATTGGATGAATGCTTGGATTAAGTTTAATGAGTGATTGATTTTAGCTTAGACTATATGCTCTATATTTGATTCATATATAGCTAAAATGATGTTGCATACCAAGTGTTTGACAAAATGCATATTCAACACATCATTCACCTTTAGAGTTTATATGCACACCAAGTGTTTGATAAATTTGTTATAAACTCTATGATAATGTTTTCATAACATTTGCACCTTGAATATTAATCACTTCAATATTGTGCAAATGCTAATTCTAAATGATTAGTTGAATTGAATGCATAGAAGCTTAAAGGAATTCATTTATTTGAATCAATGATGATCACACTTAGTTGCATGACTAATTAGCATGATTCAATGTACAAAATGAATTTGTCATTTGCTAAAAGCAATCTTCTCATGTGTAGCAAGCTCATTGTTTTACATTCCAAATATTAAGTGGTATCTACACTACAACTCACTAGAAAAGCATTCAATCACAATGAATCATATTTGGCTCTCCCCCACCTTCCCACCACCACCACCCCCCCCCCCCCCCCCCCCCCCCCCCCCCCCCCCCTCCTTCTAGGGTCATTACTTGGGCAACAGAAACACTTGTGAATATTATATGAACTCTGATCATATAAATAGTTTTATTCAATCAACATACTGTGAGAGCTTGAGTTTGTTGTTTGAAAGGAGAACCCCACCCACTCACAATAATGAGATAAATGCTTTAGGACCTACTTAAAGTGTCTCCTTCAATACATAGCACACTGATGCAGTTAATTGACCTCATAAAGCGAAAAACAGTAATAAAAGGTGTTACCTATGCACTTCTGAGCTACCATATCATGTGTGCACAAAGCGTGTCACGATCCAATGAATCTGTTGAACAAGAGTGTGTAGACAGGCATTATTGTTTTGGAATTTCAATTCAGAACAACATGGCAATTTGTGTGATCGAAAGAGGACGAGTGCCTGTGTGTTCTTGGTCACAATAGTTGCCTCAAACACTTACAATGTTATTCTCAGGAGCATTCCTGTAGAATCCTTGAATTGCAATAACAGCCAAGTTAGAAGTTATAACAACAAAAATACTTAGAGAATGCTTTCCCATCCACTCGAGAACAAATGTCAAGCGCCTGTAATTATAAACATCTACCTGTTGCACAGATAATACATGAGCATGTTCATTAGATTATGAAAATTTATGTTCTGACATTTTTATATTAACAAGTCATTCAAGTCCAGATCTATGTGTGATTTACTGATTTCATGGATTATCTAAAACTCATTAATCGTGATTGAACAAATAGTGTGGCATAGACAGATATGAATCCTTCAAAATTCAAATACATTTCTTCCATATGGCTGGTTATTGTAAATAAACATTTTTTTTTTTTTATCTCTTTCTTCTTTTCCTTAGAATTTCCTGGGGTGAGTTTAAAAAAACTGCTATGATCTAAAAATTGATAGCACAATTTGTGAATTTCAATATATTCAACCATCTAATGACAAAGATAGCAGTACTAATACTCATTACTCACCAATATGTATAGAGCAGAAAAGGTGATTCCTGCAGAGCCACATGTAACCAACATATAACTGATTGTGGACAGAGATTTATTCAAAGGGATACCTGAAGAAGAAAGGAAAGAACTGTGATATCAGTATCATGCCGTGTTGAAGTTTATCATTTCTGGAACTAAATCCATATATCAATTTTACTGCATCAGTCTTTACAGTGACGAACGTCCAGGGTCAATCTCAATTCTCAACCAAGTAAAAAGATATTGGATTTCTGGAGTTGGAACATCTCATATGATTTTAAGTTGTAATACCGATATTTTCCTTTTTTTTTTTTTTTTTTTTTCCTTCAAGTGTGTGCATGCATGCGGTTGCATGTCCATAGCAATAGTAGCAGAGTTGAATGGAGAACAAATACAGTTAACAATATCATACCTGTAATGACAAGGAACAATCCGAGGACTAAAAAAGAAAATGAAAATGTGAGCCACTTAACCAGACGTTCTTTATGGTCCTGAAAAAAGATACAGTTAATGAAAGCACCTATTAGGGCAAGGAATAATACATAGACTAAAAATGAAAATGAAAATGAAAATGCAAGCTTAAACATTCTTTGTGGTCCTGAGTTTTTATTTGAGCAATATCAGATTCACTGTAAGTATCTGATAAAACTGAACAGATAGAATGTTACTCAGGTCAAATGATATTTCTGCAGAAGATTATTTCTTCAGTCTGAAAATATTTATTGAATCATGAATTTTGAGTCCTTATGTGACATTTGCATAAGGTCTACTGTAGTGCAACTGTGCAAGAGCGTCTTCCATCTTACGTAATAAAAGTTGTCATTTTATAGAAACATGGATTGAGCAGCTATTACTTTCTAAGAATACATGTGGCAAACTTCCATCTACAGCATATACAAGTGTAAAGTTCAATGGTGATAAAATGTCAAATCTGGCCATTTATCTGGATGAAATATCACATCCTGCATAACTTAGCATGGCAAAAGTTACATGGAACTTTCATCAATTGAAATATGTATCCATTTAGGTTTGGCATTCTTTCTTTCCAAAACTTATCTGTGTCAGTAACAAGGGAGTAAAAGCGTTCAAGAAAAACATCAACCTTGTATATTTCCGATCTTCTTTCAGTTAAGATTCCAATTTAATATACTAGATTAAATTTTAAAAAGCATGATCAACTGATGAGACCCAATAGAGTTATATCCACCAACTGGTGTTTCCCTCCTCTTCCTCTAAAGCAAAAATCACTCTTAAAAATAATAATAATAAATAAAATAAAAAATCAAAGGGAAGGGTGAACATTAAATCAGTGCACAGGTATCTCACCTCTAATTGTTCAAAAACATGGCCATATTGAAGTCCAATTATGCAGGTTACAGCGGCCGTTAATGTACTGCAAATACATGGTGCCAATGTAGCAAGTAAGAGTCCATAGAGGCTTAGTAACAAAAAATTCAGTCATTTCTACCTATTAAAATATCAACTTGTAAACAAAGCATGACTGGATAGAGTATGCACAAGTTCATGGAGGATATGTGGTTTTGGAGAGCAAAATGAGCCAGGAAAAACAATCTTAGAATTTGTAAAAGCACGAGTTAGCTATGATAAATACATTTTTTTTAAAAAAAGAGAACATTTAACAGCATATAAAAGTGGAATGAATAAAACCCAAATTGATTATTCCTCAAATAGAAGAAAGGTACTGGTCTCATCTAAAGAAGGTAAAGTGATTTTTGGAAAACGTGTCACAAATCAACATCGAACATTAATCTTATAGTTACTAATTAAAGAACTTAAATTTCAAAAAGCAAGAAAATGCCACCAGAACAGAAAGTGAAAAGAACTGAAAGGTAGTATAGATTTAAAATTTATAGAACAAATATTTACCCAAAAAAATGCAATTGGAATGATAAATTGTGGTTAAATTAAAGAAATTATATTAGGAATATAAAAAAAGGCTAGTGGTATTTTATACATTAAAACAATGAGAAATAATTTAAATAAAATATTTATAGATCAACCATTACTCCATCTATCTCAGGGCTTCACAGAAAGAACAACACATGCAGTTGCAACGAAAATGTTAAGATGGATGGTAGGAGTGATTTAGAAGAGATAGGATTATTAATCGAAGTGTGAGGGAAAAATAAGGAGTAATGCCTATCAATGAAAAATATGATAAAGTTGATTTGGATGATATTGTCATATACTCCTATACAGGGAAGAACTATAAATGCACTAGTAAGAAGAGATAGATTAGTTTGCATAAAAGTTAAGAAACAAAGAGACAAATGAAAACTAACAAGGGATGGAGTTATTATAAGTGATTTCAAAAGGTTACATATAATAAGAGATGTCAAATTGAGTTACAAAGAGAATTCATGTGGCCAATTCATTCATATGGGATTAAGGCAAGGATCATATAAGCTATTAGTCTACATATATTTTGACACTAAGTAATGTTTGGGAATAGATTACAAGGTACCGTTGGTGATAAAATGGACATTAAATCATTTTCAGAAACAGATGTCATTGCATAAGATAGGCAAAATCTTTTGCATACTGCAGGTTTATATAATAAAGGTAACAATAACCACCATATGGCATTGAGATTGCACATATCTAACCCCTATAGAGAGTGTAGTATTATGACTATTGCGAAGATAAAAGAATAAGGTTGGTCATTCATTGGCAGGGCCAAAGGGCTAAAGAAAATTTAGAACCCCAGAAGAGTGAAATTGCTAAAGTAGCGGGTCCATCCAAACTACAAAATATAGACTACACAACTCTTTTAAGCAAAATATAGGCTACAGTACTCAATGCATGAAAAACAAAATATCTCTATAAGCTTTGTCACATAAATAAGGATCCTGCAATTGATTGGCAAGAATGGTAGATGACAGCATGACTGCTATCATAAGAAGTAAATTAAATCACCGAGGGAAAATTCAGAACATCGAATAATATAATTCAAATAGGTTCAATAACAACTAATGATTGTACTGCTACAGAAAAATAGTGTTCATCTGAAAAGAAGTTCACATCGAAGAGATTTAAAGAAGGCCAGAAACATGGATCAGAGATGGAAATTAATGATGCCTATCAAATGAAAATAAAATGTTTAAATTTGAGCATCTTGGAGAAACAGTATAAATGCAACCAAGGAATTGTTGGAGAGGTAATTAATAAATGCAGTACAAGCAACAGTAGCAGTTGTTTTAGTTACAAATGTAGTTATAGATTGCTATTTACCATTTAAGAGGCTAAACTGTCTTACATGAAGTATAATGTGAGTATAACAAATAAATAGTGGAAACAAGATTAATCTGCCAAACAACATCAAACTGAAGAGATACAGATGAAGTGAAACAAGTATCACAAGTGTTCCAAAAACCACTGCGGAGAAGAAAAGCACAGATTGTTCACCTTAATATACCTTCAGGATCAAAAGGAGCATGACACCATGAAGGTGAACTTTCTGGAACTGTGCCATTGTTGGAAATATTGCATTCCTGTGAATGGGATGTCATTTACGTGTTAAATAGATGCAAATAAAAAGCTAGCCGAGTGCACGGGACTCCTGCCATTGCGGTGTCTGATGTACACAGTCTTACCTCCACATGTGGAGAGGCTGTTTCCCATTTCGGACCCATGACCTCCAAGTCATAGTGGAGCAATCTTACAGTTGCACCAAGGCCCACCCTTGTCATACTGTCATAAGTGTTGAACAAAAATTTATTATGATTACCTTTGAATCAGAATTACCTGTAGGTTTCTGTATACAGGTTTTGTATACAGATGGTTAATACCAAGAACGTAACGATCAATCATTCCAGCAGAATTACAGGCAGGTCCAAGATCACCCCTTACAGAACATGTCACCTGCCATCAATCAAATAGAATGAAATGTGCAACTTTATAAATCCTATACATGCACGCAGATCAATGATCATTTAGCAATTTTTGGTGTATGCACAATAATCATTAGCATAAACTTACATAGATATTAGCAAGTAATCAGCTATTTTTTCCATTATAAAAAAGATGGAATAAACAAGTAAACGGCTGATGCAGTTATATTCAGAAATCATAATAATCACTGAAGAATAGAATAGAAATTCCTATTTTCTTAGACCGACTTGAAGCAGATAACTACAAAGATTCAACATGCCTGGAAATGCAAGAAGATTGGGGGCAAGTCTCAACTTGTCCCCATGCAGCTTGATTATGTTTAGACTTTGGAGTAACCTATCATGTGGTTGACATCATAAAATTCCAGCCAAAATAACTTCATTATTTTCTTTTAGTGCAAAAAAACTAATCTTTTGAAAAACCAAATTCTCCTTGTTTAATAAGAAATTTTAAGTTCAAAATAACTTATAATAGGTAGTACGGCAGCTACATTTTACTGTGAAAAGGAAGGTTTGAAAAATCTACTGCGCTTTAAAAAGAACACATCAAAATCTTTTGGCATTGAGTGGGAAGTCAAATAAGCTGAGTCCAGCTGAAAGCCATAAATTACCAAATAAATAACACCATGAGGATAGAGTAGCTGAACAGCCTGAACCACTGCAGGAAAAGAAAAAAGGAAGAAGAAAGTGAAGGAGAATGGAGAACATACATACCTTGTAAATACAGCTGCCATTCGCTGAAAGAAAAGAAGATGTTGAGTCCAGAACTTTGAATTGCCAATCTGGAACATACAAACCATATAATAACCCCAAGTATATTGCAGACAATGAAAATGCAATTAACCTACAAAGTAGCAAATCAATTGTTAGCCATATGTGGAAGACGAATAAACCAAAAACAAGAAGAAAAAAAGGGAAGTAAAATTGTTTCTTTATTATTTAAATTGGGCAAATAATCGATTATCTTAACAGAAGTATATGAAGATCAAGTTGGCGAGTGAAGAACTAAGAGTGAAGTGATGGAAAGTAGGCAATCAACACTGTTTGCCTAGATGACACCCTTGAATACAAAAATTACTCTTATAAAATTTTGATAAAAAATCATAAAGTTTGACTTATTTTCTCCTTTGTATTAAGTATCAAATGTTAGGTTCATAAGCTTATGCCCTACCAACACCTGGCATAGGATGGACCAACACAATAGAATGGCACTTATTCAGAATCAGCACATACCGAAAAGTTATTCACCTTGTGATATGGTGGCTTGTATATTCCTAGATCATGAAATTTTAAATTATTAAAAATATGCTGCATAAGTGCATAAAATCAAGTTGAAAAAGCATTTTCGGGGGCAAGAACTACAAATTTAAGTTTTTATTTTTTATTTTTGGATGAATTCCCAAGTAAAGGGTAACTCTTGGAAATGGGAGAACATATTAACATGGCCAAAACCGACATCTTGAAGAGAGAGAGTTTTAATAAAAGACATTTTTCTATGCCTGTAAAAGACAATGAAAAGCCCCTGAAGGAGATCATTTAACGGTAGCAATTCCATGTGCTTCTTAGGAATGGAAAAGTCAATTGAACTTTCACTCCTTTTGAAGTATCAGTCATTTTATTTCAACTTTTCAAACTACATTTGTAATTCTCCTTCTCTTGGTCTACTTCATCTACACTCTGGTGAACTTGGAGAAAAGATGTCCTACAAACATGTCATCCATTCAAACATCGAATTCACCTAAGGACTTAGACCAAGCGATGAGAACATTGGCTCTCAACTCCAAACTTTTTTGTTTCATAAATAAGACTTACTCTTGATGATGTTTGGAGGAATAATAACATATTTCATCACAATGCTCAAAACTGAATGCTTGACTTAACCACAAGCCGAGTGAAGCACGCTAAACATCCAATTATATGTCTCATTGTCAAGTCATGATTCAAATGTGTTCTGCTTTTCTTGATTCTGGATTTTAAATATATATATATATATATCTTGAATGATGATCTTAAGGTTTTCAACATCTACTAAGGTACAAGATACACCAAAACCCAGGTTATCGACCCAGAGAAAGAAAACAAATAGAGCAAACGAGGGCTGGTAATTGTAATTTTATCTAGTAAACAACCCTCGACATTGCAAATGGAAATTATCCATGTTAAAAATAATTTTGATCATCACTATGCAACAGCCTTGAAGTTTGTAGCATGCAGCATACTGCCGGATAGGACCTTACCAGTGCCAAGAATAATTCCTGAAAGAACATATTCCCCTCCATCTTTGACATGGAAGCCATATCTCACACAAAGCCGCGACAATGTATCCAATAGATATCCTCTGGATTAATTGACAATAAATGAAGTTAGATAGTCTATATCCTTTGATAGAAAAAATAAATCCATATAAGCAGCTATCCTAAGCAGTAGAGTTCATAGAAACAACAAAGGTCCTAAGTGAGCACAGAAGTGTCCCTGAGAATTTCTTTTTAGCTCGCGCTTTCAAACTCTCTTTAAAAAAAAGGGGCAAGGGATCCTCTTTGTTTTGGCAACAGAAGGAGCTACTGGATGAAACTGAAACTTAACTGTACTCCATTCTAAGAATCAAAATACACAAAATGCAATATTAGCTTAGCCACAAGATACTTCTACCCACAATGGCTAATTAACCAAAATGGGCCCAACGTCCAGCTAATACAGCAAATCATAGCATAACTTACACAATGTTGATACATTTGACTTAGTTCTTTATTTTCATCTAGCCCACAAAGTAACTTAAGAATGACATATGATTTTGTGAAAGATCAATATTAAGTACTAAAAGATTAGGAGGTAAAAAATTTCAGACATGTTTAGGAAAAATAAAATTGACAAAGAAAGGAAGGGGATTATTTTATGACAAAAGTTAAGGCTTAAGCAAAATATTGAGAAAAATACATAAAAAAACAATAGTGTTACAGGGACCACTTGATTATTCTGAAATTGAATGGTAAGTTTTGTACCCAGTATTTGTAGAAGTTTTGTCTAAACTGGAAAATGTAACTACAAATGTATGAGAGTCGAGGAATTTAAGTGAGTAATCACTTTAAAATGCAGTAATTTCAATTTTACATCAAAACCTGTTACAAAATTAGCCACTAATGATCAAACCGAGAAATGTTTTTAATTGAAATCAAAACATCAAGAAAAATGGATGAGCGTAAGTAATATCTTCAGAAATTTGAACAAAAATATGGTCTTAATTAAGAAGTTAAAACTAATTAAAGAAAAACAAATCAAAGAAATAGAGCAAAGCGGAAACACAAATACACACACACAAACACACAAAACAGTAAATTGAGGGGCTCCTAGTGTATTATATGCTTCTGCCTCACTCCAAGAGTTTGAAAGAAACAACTCAATATTTTTCCAATTAATAAAACAAGAGTCGCTTTTTATTTTATTTTATTTTATTATTTATTTTTTTCTCTCTTTTATTATAGAAAAAAGAAAAAGACTGAAAAAAATAGATGCGTTGGATCACTAAATATATCTTAAATATATATTAAGAAAAAAGGACATTAATTCATATCATAAATAGCTAAGGTGTCAGGAGTTTTAGAGAAACTCTTTCTAGACTAGTTCCCCAATTTCAAATTATATTTTAAACAATTCAAAACAAATTACAGACAATCATTCAATAGGGCAGTGTTAATATGCCTAGAGCCGAACTGATAGTCTCTATAGATTGCGACTGATTAGGGCCTTCAATTCAAATTGAAGGTACTTTAGAATTTACTAGCATGCCATCATAACCAGAAAGACATGCTGAAAGAGCCATCAAATTGACAATCAACAGTTTGACCATAACATCGCTTCCTTTTAATTCTGTAACCCGGAATTGTTTTAGAAATTGCACATAAAAAAAAAAAAAAACTAGTCTTGAAATTTTATCTTAATCACCTGCAAAATGCCAAACCAACGTATCCTTTCAATGTCAACACCAAATGTCAAAGAAGTTACTCCATGCAGATAACCACCTGAAATAAAATGAATCGCAGGTTTCAGAACTCCAACTAACCTGAATGTCATATGGTCAATAAATCTAAAAAATATATATGCAATAACAAGTAGAATAGATTTCCTGATTAACAGAAATAAGTCGTAAAGAGAGAGAATGTGTTAAGTCAATAAGTGGATGGCAGTACCAACAATGCCGGAAGAATAAATTGTTGACTAGATGCCATCCTAACCCTATCCACCTAATTGTTTCCTGTCATATGCTTTTTCCCCCTTGCCTATTAAAAGGCTTCGATAACATCAAGTCCATTTATATCAATGGTATCATTCAGCTTTATTTGTCAACTCAATCAAATCTCTTTTCTTCAATTCTAGATGAACTACTTTCAAAGCTCCTCCTCATCCTCATTAGTTCAAATAGATGCTATATGGTCTTAGATAGGACGAAAAAAAGAGGTCCTACCACGGATTTCAATCAGTTGTAGTAAATAGACATTCCCTATAAACTGAATGTCAATTGCAGTGTTCACTATTAAGCAATAAAAAATAGGAACTTACTGAATAAAGAAAAAAAATATAATTTTTTCTCTGAAGGCTACCAAGCATACCAGATAGATTACTGTGAATTTCATCTCCAGGTGCTAAAATGAAATTTACATAATTGATCACTTTTACCTTAGAGAACTCTAATATTTTTTTAGAGTTTGTATAGTCAAAATTCATATTCCTCCAGGGTACATCCATGATAGATCCATGTACAGCGGCTCAAAAACTCAGATTATGAGTTGAATCAAGCTCCAAGGTTGTGGCTAGCGGGCCTTCTGCCAGTCATTCTTATATCTTAACAAGAACTCATGGATACTTATACCAAAAGGTTGGAAAGACTTTAAATAACTCTTTTGTTCCTCTCTGAAGATGAAAAATTTAGGGCCACTTGGGTACTTCTATTTTTTTTACTTCTTCATAGAAAATATTCACACATTCATTTTACAACCAGACTTGAACCCTGCATGTGGATTGGCAACTGATGTACTTTTTTTGTCTAATTGTTATTATTTCCTTAGTCTATAATATGATGCTGATTTCTTAAACTAATTTTGAGGAAGTGGTAGAGACTCTCCTTGCTTTCAGACCTAAAATGACAATCCATCATTGCTATTATTCAGGTGAAAGAGATAAACCATCATATTCTTATGTTTCAAAGTTCCAGCATGCCACTGAAAAATGAAGACAAAACAATAAAGAATCTGACTTGCTGACTTTTGACCCTTGAATCAAAGAATGTATAGTCATAGACATACAATCTCAGAAGGTTCCAGGATTTATGCTTTCAAAATAAATGGGTAGAAATAAGTAGACCAAAGCCACAAATATTGTAGATACCTTACTATTTAGCTATCTCTTTAAGCAAAGTAAGCTACTCAAAGGACCAGTCATATTGTTTGTAGCCTGCATTACGAAGAATAGTTCAAATTGTTGCTTTGCTTCAAAAGTGCAGTTCACATATGGTTGCATGAAATGCCTTCCAAAAACAATTAGGCAATTAATATATCTTAGAAGGATATATATAGTTTCTCTTAATATTACCTTGAAGAAGAACACCAAGGAGAAAAAGTTCCAATGCCCTCAGTACTGCCTTCCATGTAGCTTCTACCCTGTCCGAAACTTTCTGAAATTGTGAAAAGAAAGGATAACTTCACCGAATGCAATAATCAATTAACAACATTAACAGAAGCATATATCATATCATCACATGGTGCAGAAATTATAAGTACATAACACAGATCACTAATTTATCACATGAACTTTTTTGGTGTATGTGCTAGAGATTATATACTTAAGACTAGCAAGTTACCGTTCTCTTTGCAAAAGCATTTATTTTCTTATAATCCTATCTATTTGTACCTTGTATACAAATGCAAGAGAAACCCCAGCAACAAAAAGGAAGAAAGGCATCACAAAATCTGCCAAGTGTACGCCATTCCATGGGGAATGAGCAATGATTGGGAAAACCGACCCACCATAATCCACAAGCATCATAAGCTGAAAGCAAACAATATGGTATACAATAGTAAATATATCCTGAAAAAAGGGAAATCACAAATGATGAAATCTATAGTTGATTAAATTATGATAACAAAATTAACAAATATCTATCCCAGTATTTAAAGCTAATGTTTAAGCTCCAAGGCTTAAATACTTAGGGCTCCTTGTCACATACTGACACTACCATTTGCATTTAAATGTAAAATTAAAACGCACACAATGAGAGAATGATATACATTATTGGGCCCATTCCTTAATAGCTTACTTTTGGGACAAGTGGTTGGTTGACACATATCATAATCAAAGTTCTGAGATATTTTGGATTGGCCCATTCCTTAACAGCTTGCTTTTGGGACAAGTGGTTGGTTGACATGTATCAGAATCATAGTTCTGAGATATTTTGGATCCAAATCTCTTCATTTTCATTTGTTTCCCTTTTCTATTTGTTTGTTTGCACTTTGTGTTATGTCTATCTATTTATTTTCAATAAGTGAGAAGGAGCAGCAACTGAGAGGTGCAAGAACTTGATATACATTGTAAAGCCCCATCTTTAATAGCTTAAACATTAAGGAGAACTGGTTAGTAAATACCATGTCATTATCATTTAAAAGATGAAACATTTACAAGAAAAGTTAGACGACATTTCCTTCATTCTCATTATAGCTCATGCAATGTCAGAAGCACCTTCACAGGTCTTCGTATTTCCATCTTGATCTAGTTCCATTTTAGTTACCCTTGCTTCGTATGGAAATTAGTAATGAAGATGCAAGGCTATAGTACCTTGTTTTGGTGCCATCATTCAAGGAGATCTTACGTCCAGCTTTAGCGAAATTTATTTTGCTTTTTAATAGGCAAGACACACTCACACACCACACTTTGTAATGATTGGTAGTTGGACCCTCAACTTCTTCCTTGGGAAGTGGAGGAAATACCACTCAAAGCAATGCTCCAGAAAAACTAGTCAATAATATATTTAGAATTGTTACATTACAAGCTAATTGAACTTGTATTAATGCATTACGAAATTTAGATTTGCAAAATATCTCTCATTAATCTTATATGTAATAGTAGTTGACTAGCAATGAGTATAGTGTGCACGGCTTGCTGAACAGTCGGTACAATAGGCATGTACAATTTTTTAGGCAAACCACCAAATATCAACAATGCAGATTCCTAAAACGTTTCTACCAGTTCAAATTCAATATAAACCACCAATCACTCAGAAGATACTTGATTCTAATCACTGAAACAAAGAAATTCAAATTCAGATAGACAAAGACATAATTCTTCTAATTTATTGGTTTCCGAGAGAAAATGAGAAAGAAGGTAATAACATCTCAGAAATGAAAGCAAAGATAAATCCATTGACTAAAAGGACTTCCATTGAATAAAAACAGAGAGCAACGTTTATACAAAACAATGGCACACAAGAACTTCAACTAAATTCAAAACTTCTAATCTATGCCAAATTCAAAGAACATAAAGCTATCGCAATGTTAGATATTTATTGTGCACAATAGGAATCGAGAAAGAACAATAGCACATGAGTTCGAAGTGATAGCAAAAACTGAACAAATCAAAGATTGAAATACTAAAATAAATCGAAATCCAAGTATGAAGATGAAAGAAGAGCTTTACGAAGACAGAGAGGCCACGGAAAACATCGACAGACGCGACGCGAGTAGTTCTAGCTCTTCTCTTGGTGACAATCTCTGGTTGTTCTTCATCTTCTTCGTGGTTCACTAAGGACTCGTACTCGGCCATTCTGGGCCCAAATTTTGAAGTTAGCTCTCAACTCACTTTCAGACTGCGACTTCAAGAAGAAGAGACGACAAGACGACGAAAGAGAGACCCAAATTTTGGTTAGAGAGAGAAAAGGTTTGTATTGTGTCCGATTCTTTGTGGTAGGTAGCGTCCAACAGAGGACCAATTGATTGATTACGTGGCAAATTTTGGTTGGATGGAATAAAAATTGCAAAGTCAAAATGTCGATAATTACCGAGGTTTAAGCAAGGATTGAAAAATATAAAAAAAAGATATATATATTTATATAAATAGTTTCCGTATACTATAATTAATTATTTTTTAACTGAAGCCTTAGGTGGACTTGGGCTTCTTCCGTGGACTTGAGAGACTTGGGTTTACAGAGGTTTGAGGGGATTCAATTTGATCTGATCCAACCATTAGTTAATTGTTATATTGCCTTTGGGCTTGTGCGGCTTTTTATAGCTGCCCTTGGTTTGGGCTTGTTAGAGTTTCTTTTCGGGCTTGTCTCTGGGCTCTCCATTTAAGTTCTTGTTCGGCTACTCTAGCCTTTCCACAATTTATAATTGCTCAACATTAAAATTAAAATCCCTAAACCTCATGTAACAAACAATGTTTTACTAAACATTATGATTAAGGAAAAGATTTCCAATACCCTCATAAACTCTTCCTCCTTATCTCCCACGGGACCATACATATCTTCACACGCGCGCGCGCGCACCCATATATATAGATAGATATAATGGGGTTTAATGAAGTGCATATATATATATATATATATAATACTTGACCTAAGTCTCGTTAATTCATTGGGTTGGGTGCAATGGCCGATGATGGGCGTGAATTTGCATTTTGGGCCGAAAGAGTTGCCATCTTTGTTGTGCTATTATGTTTCTTCCTTCTAGGAACAACTGAGGGGTCTCCGACTGGGTCTGGCTTTGTCCGTACGTGTGTCTTTTTCTGATCTCCAACATGTGTTACACGCATACTTGTACATGGAGGATACGGAATCAAAAACTTATCAGAAGGTGCGCAAGAAATAATATAACCCTAACCCTGTCATTTCTCTCTTTTTCATTATTTCTGAAATCTCTTTGATTGGAATATATAATATATATAGATTCATATGCATGTATTGTCTATACAACACATGTATTCACCAATAGATATGCAAGGTTCACATAAGCAAAGACACTATGGTTTTACACTTTTACTAATCCATATATATATAAGAAAATCGATCAGTGCATGTCCTTGTTGATCAGTGTCCTCCTTGTTTGTATTTACTCTCATTTTTCTAAATATTGCAGAATGTTGGAAACGACGACAATGGAAATCGAGAAAACAAAGGTAATACTGACATCAAGTTGAAGGAAGAAAAGGTTATATGTGATCAGGGTAACCAAAAGAAGCGGTAGCCACTTAGAAGAAGAAGAGAAGAAAGGAAAAGATGAAACAAATGAAGAATTGGAAAAAGTTTGTTCAACTGTTGCAAGTGATAGTAGAAAGGACTTGAACACGGCAAAAGAACATGATGGTGACAAGAAGGAAGCACATAAAGCTAAATTAGCATGTGAAAGAAATGAATATATTGAAAAATAATTATGATGGGGTGGGAAAGAAAAATGAAATAGAAGCATCAACAAATAAGTACTACGAAGAAGATAATGAAAAAAAAAAAGTTAAAAAAAAAGAAAGATAAATGGACGAGAAAGATGAAGCGAGAGATGGAAAAATGCAATATTGCTACAAAGCTTTATGCAGCAACTGCATCTTCTGAGGTCTACCACAGTCTCTTGCAATACTCAGAAGAAAATCGGCGTAAATTAGGAGAAGAGAAGAACAATTTGATTGTACAGCTCTGTGCTGCTCTTGCACTATCCGAGCTTTATTGTGCCATTTTGCGTGACCCTAGCTTGTCCAGCTTCATAGGGTTCTATTTTTTTTCCTCTCTTTGTTAGAGAAGTAATTCGTCACAAAGTTTGGTGTCTTTTTAGTATTTTTCCTTTGTTAGAGAAGTAATTCGTCATTCAGTTTGGTGCCTTTTTAGTATTCCCAGTTCATAGGATTTTAAATTTTTTTCATCGTCAGAGAAGTTATTGGTGAAAAAAGTTTGGTGCTTTGTCTGTTAGTCATGGACCTCATGGTATATAGCAAACGTCCCAAATTAAAAATAATGACAACATTATTCCAGCTGTTTTTTTTTTTTCCCCTCTTTTTGCCAAAAATAATAATATTAAAAAGAAATTTGAGCACAGTTGAATTGTATCAATATATTATGATATTATTACTATTATTTTATTATTATTATTATTATTATTTGCATGTGCAAGAAATACACACTATTTACACACTCAATATACTCGTTTGGGAACGTAAATCTTCACCATCCACCTAAGGAGAGTAAGGAAATACCACACTCACCATTTTAAAAAGGTAAAAGAGATATATTGGACCGACCAGAAGATCCTTGGTACAATATATAAGTTGGTGTCTTACCTTCAGAAATAAGATCTTTCATCTTCATTATTTATTTTCATACAAAGGAAGGATAACTAAAATGAAATTAGATCAATATGGAAATATGATTGGCTATGAAGGAGCTCATGACATTGCATGAGTTATAGCCTATAATGAAGAATAAAAGAAACTTAATCTTACTTAATTTTCATGTAAAAGTTACATCTTTTTAAAATAAAACAATAATGGCTTGGGTTTTTATTTATTTACGAACCACTTATCCTTTATGTTTAAGCTATTAAAGATGGGATTTTACAAGCTAGGAAGATCTCTAGTGATTTATGAATGATCTCTTACGATAGGCTCTAAGGTTGAAGAGTCGTACATAGGAACAGAGTGCTGCAGGCTCTTTCAATGAACAAATTGATGTTGGTATGGGTCATTTAGTGATCAAATCTACATATAATTCAGAGGTCAAGAACTTTTGTAATTCATTTATTACAATGGTAAGCCTAGCTTGGGAAAAATCTAGAATGTTAGGGGGTACCATACCTCTGAATCTTTAGTTGTTGGATGTGACAGTGAGGCTCCTAATGAATAATCTAACATTAGACAGGCCGACTCAAGCCTTTGGCGATTTTGACTTGCCTAAGGTCCTACTCAGTAGGAAGGCTTCAAATTTTTTTTATATTAAGTTATATTGTAATTATTTCTTAATATTGTTAAAATCTAATAAATATAAAAAATTTATAGCAGATCTCAAATATTTATATCCTTAAATAATTTTTTTGTAAATCCACAATCGTTTCGATTTTATATTAGGCCTCAAATATTTATATCCTAACATAACTTTTTTTTTTCCCTTTGCCTCAAATATTTATATCCTAAAATAACTTCTTTTTTTCTCTTTCCACCTCGTTCCGTTGAACTCTAATTGATATATAAATTTAATATTGACCCCCAAACATTTACATCCTTATATGACTTTTTTTTCCTCCATTTTTCTACTGTCATTCACGTTTTACAATAAATCGTAACTAATATAAATATTTAATATTAGGCCCAAAAATTTGTGTCATTAAAAAAATAAAAAATAAAAAATAAAAAAATTCCCTCTTTCTTTCTCTCTCATTCACTTTTTTACACCAACACTAAAAATATTTTTTTGGTAAGGTACACCAATAATAAAATATTAAATATGTATTTAACGTTGTTGTTTGGGAAAATGGCGAAAACTTTTCATATTCTTTATTTTTTTTATGTTTTATCTTTTTCTTTTCAACAAGTCTTCTCCTCACACTCTCATTACAAGTTTATAGTTATTATGAACGCATTTTTATTCAATTACAATTTGTAGAAGTTTTAGATTTGGGTTTTCAAAATAGGTTCAATGGTTCTTTTTCTTTAATTATTTTTAATTTTATTAACTTTTGTTATTATAAATTTGTGTGTATATATATTTGTATTTTTTTTTTTTAGTTGTGACTAATTTTATTTATATTGTTGAAAAAGTTATTTTTTATTTTCCGCCTAAAATTCCAAATTAGATTGAGCCGCCCCTACATTGAGAGACCATACCCCTAGACTTTCACAATGCTATTTGATTTTCCAAATTTGCATATAAATAATGTACTATATAACTCAAAAATGCACAATCTTTAGGAAGAGATGGAAGTAAGTAATACATGGTAGAAAGAAAACTATGGGGAATGCTTTCTCATTAATAAAAATTAAAATGAAAATTTTAGTATGTCTTTTGTCATTTATGCTTTTGATTCATTTTGTTTATAATGCATATTATTTATGTTAAATTAATTGTATGTTTCCCTAGAAATAAAAATTAAAAAAAAAAAAAAAAAAGTAGTAAAGAAGGTAAAAATAATATAGGTAATTTGCACTTACATTCTTTCAGGTTAATTTGCAATAAAGACATATAAATACGATTTAGGGAGAGTGTGATCTAATTGCCCCCAAGTTTGCAAACTTGAACAACAACACCCCCAACCATAATAAGAGTATGTAATTGTCCTTTGACTTCTAAATTAACCTATTTAAATTATTAAAGTACAATATTAACCTTTATAAGTCTTTTTATTTGACCAACATGGCCTTTAGCAAAACATAAAAAAATAAAAAAAGAAACCAAACTCCACCATTGTGGCCACCAACGACATATGCATACAGATAGGGGCGGAGCTAGAAATTTTTAATAGGGGGACCAAACTAGTAATGTAAACAAAAAATATTAAAATAATATAAAATTATTGTAAGATATTTTTTTTTTTTTTTTTCTGCATGTTTAATGCTCTCGCTGAAATAGATGGATTATTTATATTATCTAATACTTAAACAAAATTCTAATACAAAACTCTGACTTTCCATCTCAAAAAGTAAGAAATATGGTTTTTAAATTTTTTTTTTATTATTCCACAGTAATATATTAAATATTAAAAGACCATTTTTAATATTCAAATATTAAATATCACATTCAAGTAATATCACACAAGTTAATCTTTTTATTTCTTAGCGTTTATAAACATATCACAATAAAATCATATTTGTTTTTTTTCATTCTTGAGGGTCATTTTGGTCAGCTAATAGGAGGTCATAAAGGTAATTTAATGATTCACATGAGTTAATTCAGAA